TCAGCAGCACCAGATCTCCCTACTCACTCTGTGTCCCCAACCTGGAGAGCTGGCAGAGGGGAAAGCACTATGTGGGGTAAAAACAAGCAAGAATCAGCAACCAGACAGGTCTCAGAAATGCTGCAGGCTTGGGGGGGATGGGGTGGTTGTGGTAAGTGGCTGCAGTGCCAATCACTGCAGAAAAGAGGGAATGTGACAGTGGGGCATCATTTCTGATGCAGTTCATCCAAAGAAGGGCAAGGAGTTTTCCTGTCAAAGTAAATTCAGGCAAAAAGTTTTTAAAAAGTGGAAAGAGGACCATATTTTTATGGTTGCTGGTTGAAAGACTGCTCCCTAGATGCTGCAGCTACAAGCACAGGGATGGTGTAGAAGGGGCACCTGCAGGCAAAGATCTGGCCTAACTGTATTGTCATTTTTACAAATGGCTCCAAGCTGGCTTCTCACAGATAAAATTGCAATCCTTAATCACAGTCCTCATCCAAATTCTAGGGCATGTTTTCAAATCCTGACTTGGCTACTGAAAAACACAGCCTGAAGAACTGTCAGACATGGAACTTCAGACTTTGGGCACAAAAAATCTTTCCATTGGTGCCTCTTCCTCCCAGTAACTAACACTACCAAGACATTACATGTCTTGAGACATCCATCAGATGATAAAACAAGCTGAGGTTTGTTCGACCTAGTCTGGTGGTTGCCTAGGTAGAAGTTAAGTCTCTAGCAACTCTAGGGGCTTGGCCACCAATCTCATTGACATAAAATATCCTTTACTGTGTAAGGCTGTGTCAGAACTACCCTGATGTTCAGTGTTGCATTTCCCAGGATAGTAATTTCCTTGTTAGTAACTGACACATTGCTCTGTTCAGTGTGCCATGAATCCTGGGCTGAAAGGTGCTGTCTAACACCAGATCCTATTTTCTTGAACTTCACATGTCACCTGACTGATGTGTTCCCCTAATATTCAGGTTTTCCTGGAAAAGCTGTAAAATGTAGGGACTTGCCAGCAGTCCCTACAGCAGTCTATTTATGTCTTGAGCAAAGGTGTGATTGAATTTACAGTACATCAGACCTGCAAAAAGCTGTGAAAAAGTGGACACAGTGCTCTGTACTTACCTTGAGCAGGTCACCAGCTATGACTGCCTGTAAAAGTGCTGCAAAAGACAAACAGAAAACTAATGTTAGGCAGAAAGCATTATGCTTATAGCCTCACAGCTGAGAACATAGCTCACAGTTTGTGCAACTTAAGACCAATGCCTCACCCACCTGCATTCTCATACACTACCAAAACGACTGCACAAACTGGACTGGCGGGCAGAAGGAAAGTGGCCCACATCGCATGAAAGCTGTAGGGACATCAAGACAGCATTTCCAATGCTGCCCTGGAACTGTGTGCTCACATCTGGACTTTTGCCTTGAGACACTTCAGGAACCATTCCACAATATCCACAAGGTGAGCCCAAATCTCTGGCACCTAAGACATCACTGAAGACATCAATATTAAACACAGAGAACCTGAAAGCATCCTCAGACCTCTCAAACGTTAGTCATACTGGTGGTGGAGTGGTCAGTCAGTCTCAAATACATTGAGACTCTCAAGTTGTGAATTACTAGGTGGCAAAATAGGAATTTCTTAATTAGATGCATGACAAAAACATTTTGACCCTCCAATGGGCAGTTCTCCATGGTTTAGCAGGCAGGGTCAAGTGGAGCAGGAGCCAGTCACCAACTTTTTAGCTTTTGGACACAGAAGGAAAGAAAAACAAAGAAAACCAAAGTGAACTAAGGCTCACAGCAGGGTAGGGCAGAGCTGTGCACAGAGCTGGGGGCTGCTCGCTACCCACTACTGTCTGCTCCGTGCCTGTTAAAAAGAAGGAAGGCAAAAGCCTGTGATTCACCTGGGTACAGGCTGCATTCAGCTAAAAGCGCCTTGGTGGCAAGTAACCGCAAACAGAAGTTGTTACAAATCTGCTGCTATGTGGCTTTTTCCTCCTCTTTTCCTCCTTCCTGTCATGAAATATTTAGTAAAAGACAATTATGAATATTCTTTCTAAGAAATCACTTATTTAGTTTGCATTTTAGAAAGCATTAAACATCTGTCTCAGTTCATACTTTTTTAAGAGTGCCTAAGCCCATTTCTATCCTCAAGTCTAGGCAGCGCAATCAAGTTAAGCATATACTCAAGTACCATCCTTGACAAAGATGCCAAAAGCTCCCACAGGGAGGAACAAGGGGAAAGAGAACCACAGTATAGCCCTGCCTCTGAAAAATAATGTATGGGAAACTGCACAGTATGAATTCCATGATGAACTTATTATAGCTTCAGAAGTTACAACATCCAAGCCAAATGCTGCAGAAGAGGAAGGATGTGTGAAGATGACTCAATAAATGCCCCTTTCTTTGAAAACACCTGGGATTGCACATGGCTTTCTGGTCTCAGCAATGTCTCATGCCCTGGCCACACAGCAGTGGGAAAAGCAAAAACCCAGTCCAGCTAAGGTCTGACTTGGTAAAGCAGCAGCAGCAACTCTTGTGACATTGAATTTACGGCAGTTTTACAGTGACCGTGAGTTAAACTAAGTCCTGTAAATCCACCTGGCATCTGTGGGACTGGGGGCACACAGACTTGAGGAGTGAAAAAAGAAAACACCAGCAGGTAGGAGCTAGAACTGGAAAAAAATACATGTACCTCTTTTCTTCAGGTTTCATTTTCAGTGGTTTATGTCCTTTTCTTCCCCCATAGTTCTAATACTAGCTCAGTCCAAATTAATACCAGAGCAGAATTTAACCCTTGTGTCATTAATTTTATCACTTTCCTCCTTTTTTGCCCATCTGGTCTCACTGCCACATTTATTCTGTGGGCTACTACAGCCTGGACTTGTATAAATATTTTGCTCTCCTCACACATGGAAAAATCGTATGAACTGGTGATATCAGCTTTTCATTGCCTTCTACATCCAGTATTTTAAGACATGACTTCCCTGAAGTTACTTCTTAAGAGGCAGAGATACATTTTCTTATGCAAACTGTGCTTAAGATGATAGCTCAGAAGAGCCAGGAGAGAGATCTAGAAAATTCCAAAGTGAAAAGAAAACCCTGGCAAGTCATGAGAAATCTTCTGTGTTGAGTATCCATAACCAGAGGTTGGTCTAGTGATAAGGCTATTAAGATAAAGCAGCTCTAAAAGATATTTAGCATAATTAGACCAAGCTTTTCCTCTTTTTCCTAAGCTTCCAATCCAGCAAAGGTGCTTAGCTTTGAGCTAATCGCATTCTTTTCACCAAGTCTACCTGCACACTTAAAATTAAGTGCTCTGCTAGGGTAGAACCTATTGCATAAATGAATACATTACAGATCAACAAAACCAGCTGGCATAACAAGCAGATTAGACTACAGTAAAATAATGCAGTGCTGTAAGCCAGGATGCTGAAAGACTTAGAAACTTTTGAACTAGAAATGGAGAGAGGTTCTTTAGAGTAGGGAACACATTTACATAAACATATGAATATTGTTTAGCACACTAATCCCATAAACCCAAATGGGAGTGCTGGGCATATTGAGGAGGAAGGTGAAGATGGCAAAAATCACCTCAATGTTGAAGAGGTGGTGAAAACAAGCAAGCAGATGGCACTGACAAGAGAGAGAAGACTGAGGAATTGGACAAAAATTGTTGTTAACATGCTATGCCAAGCTAGCTTAAAATTAAAAACGTTAAAGTGAGAATAGTTCTGTTTCTTCTGAGCAACACTACACCACTGGTGTAATGAATTATGCAATTGTTTTGTCATACCATAAAATACCTTCAGGTCTTCAAGATGCCTCAAAAATTACTTGATTTAAATATTTATTAAATCAAGTGAAGTCACCATTTTCTCAACTTCTCCTAAGACAAGCATTTGTCGTGACTAATAAAAATGTTTTATTACCTTTTTTGTTTATTTAGCAAGAATATTTATCGTTGATGAAAGATGATGGCTTGACACACAAGACTAGAGACTGAAGTGCTCTGTCCATATATCAAGGAAGTACTCAGTCTGCTGTGGTAGTAGACTGCCCAGGCCACCTTCTCAGCAAAGCTCAAACCTCTCTCCCTGTACACTGCTGTGGACAGCCCCTGCCCCATTCCTGCTCCATCACTGACCTCTTTGCTGAAAATGCCAGCAAGTGTGTCAATTGTTGCCCAGGGTATTGGATCTTAGGAAAAATTACCTGCTAGGATATAGACAGACAAAAATGCAGAGTATGTGTGTGACAGCTGCTAGAGACTAATGACTTTTATTTTCCATTGGGTGAATTTTAAGATGAGATTCTAACCACTTCTGTGGGCCAAAAAGTAGGTTATACACAAACAAAATAAAAGCCATGATAAAAAAGACTGTTAATTGAATTCTGGTAATGCTACAAGCTAGTGCAGCTTGAGACACAGGAAAAATACCTACTAGGTACATCCACACATGGAAACAACACCTTTCCTGTAGCATGTGTCACTCATTTTTTCTGTGTTA